GTAAAAAATTTGTGCTTCTTCTCAGTAAGATACTTGAGAAGACATTTAAATCCGTCCAAGGTTTCAGCCAATACACGGCATTCACCCCGACGTCCAATTTGTAGTGAAAACTTAACTTTCACGAAATTCAAAAGTTCCATGCGAAGAGCATGGAAATCGGTAGTGGTTATCACAATAGGGGGAATCTTTTCCTTCTTGGCATTAAGCCGGGAAAGTTTACTAGAATTTTTCTTGGATGATGGATCATTCTCATCATCCGTGAGCAAATCAAATTGATTACTCAAATTAATTTCATCAGAAGGGGGGTCAAGAGTTTGCCCCTTTCTTTTGCGTTTAGGCGCCATGGCGGCAGTAAATTTTTATCCAAATCGACTTCCAAGCAGATTACTATAAGAATCTGAAGGATCGAAGAGGAATTTTCCAAATCGATATCCAAGAAGGATTACCTCGGGTAGGGTCCAAACAAGGATCGAAGAGGAATAAGAGTTGAACAAGGTAGAAAATTTTTACAGGTTGAGCACTGAAAAGTGCTGTTAAAATTTGTTGTAGCTTTAGGTAGTAGTAACACTTCCTTCAGCAAAAAGCAAATAGATCCGCACGGCAAGAGAGCACGATGCGGACTGATTTTAGAGTACGGTAGTTTTTGCTTCCAGTCGGCGGCTAAAACGCACATCATCAAACTGGAACGGATCCAGTATCGCTGTCTTCGTATCGCGTTAGGATGCATGCACTCGACTCATACGATGAGTCTCGAAGTGTTAGCGGGCATGTTGCCACTCTCTGATCGGTTTTCGGAATTATCCCTCAGGCTCCTCACCCGTTGTGAAATTATGAACCCACTGGTGATCGAAAATTTTGAGAAGCTTCTTGAGCTAAACCCTCAAACTCGTTTTATGTCATTGTACTACGTGTACATAACACAGGATGTCAGCCCTTCGCAGCATAATCCCTATCGTGTTTGCTTCTCCGACTTCGACAGTTCTGTTCATTTTGATTTATCCATGACGCAAGAGATTCGCGGAATCCCAGAGCATCATCGTTCCATGTTTGCTCCGTCAATTTTCGCTGCAAAGTTTGGCCAAGTTGATTCCGCAAGATCGTTCTTCACAGATGGATCACTAATAGAGGCGTCCGCTGGTTTTGGTATTTATAACGAATTTCATAGCGCCTCTCGAATGCTTCAAGCTCCTTATTCCGTATATGTTGCGGAACTAGCGGCAATACATTATACGCTAGAAACGATCGCCTCACTTGCACCAGATCATTATTTTATTTTTACGGATAGTCTCAGTTCTGTCGAGGCTATTCGCTCCATGAGGCCGGTAAAGCACTCGTATTTTCTCATGAAAATACGAGAGCTTCTAAGTGCTTTATCTTTAAGATCTTTTGTCATCACCTTTGCATGGGTCCCATCTCATTGCTCGATTCCGGGCAATGAGAAGGCGGACTCGCTTGCAAAGGTGGGCGCTATGGAAGGCGATATTTACGATCGACAAATCGCCTACGACGAATTTTTCTTCATTTATCGTCAACAGTCACTCGCCAGCTGGCAAAATAAATGGAGTGAAGGGAGTTTGGGACGATGGTTATATTCAATCATCCCTAAGGTGTCGAAGTGTCCTTGGTTCAAGGGGTTGGATGTGGGTCGAGACTTCATTCGTATGATGTCTCGCCTCATGTCCAATCACTACTCGTTAAACGCTCACTTGTTCCGTGTTGAGCTGGGGGACAGTAATCTCTGTGAATGTGGACAAGGTTACCAGGACGCAGATCACATTATTTGGTCATGTGCTGAGAACCGTGGAGTCAGATCCGAGTTGTACGATTCCCTTCGGGCTCGAGGTAGACAACCTAATGTTCCAGTTCGGGATATTTTGGCTAGACGCGATCTGGAGTTTATGCAACTGATATATGTTTTCTTGAAGAATATTAAACATAGATTGTAAGCTTGATTAACCTTGTGTTATGTTTGTGTTTTGTATGTGTGTGTGTATGTTTTTTTGTAGATTTGTTTCTGTAATAATTGTATAATTACAGAGTTGATATAACGTCGATAGGATTAAGTATATGTTTTAGAAATAGTGAAATTTTTGAATCATAAATCATATTCCAAATCTCCTTTTCCCTCTCCCGATCCAAACAATTGTCATCCACTAACCTCGAGCAGACCGCGAGTAATCGGTTCCAATCCTTTAATTTTAGATTTAAGACATTTATAATGTATAAAGAAAATGATAACTTGGCTCTGTAAAGTTTATTCGATTGAGCATGTACAAATAAAGTAATAAAAAAAAAAAAAACATCTTCATCTTGTTTGGCTTTATTTATTTATTGCACATCGTCTTCGACTACGTCGTACAGATTGATTACTCAAAACTAAAACTTGTTTAATCTAAACCTCTTATTCTATTACTATTTGGACATAGCAAAATCAGATTCGCTACAAACATCATTAAAGGAACGCAAACAGGAATTAAAACAGGAATTGAATCCAAAGTTAGTCTAGTGTAAAGAGCCTAAATTTATAAAGAGGCGACATGTCAAAATTGGAACAATCGATTGTCTGTCAAAGTCATAGGAAAAGTCATTCCAATCGAGCAGAAGACCTGTCAAATGGATAAGATGCCGTCTCTTTATAAATTCAGGCTCTTTAGTCTTGTGGAATGGAATTGCCAGCAGTGTCTGTTTTTCTCATTTGCCCTCACACGTACTAACCCAGTGTAGATGAATTGCTGTTGTTTTGAAAATCTTCGCTGTCAACGTACGAGTGAAATGAACAAATGACTTCGTTGCTCATCGATGAATACGCGTTTGTTGATATTCATCAACGCTTGAATTTCCAACCCAAATTGTCAAAATCGAAAACGATCCTCAAAAGCTCAAAATATTTTTGATAGCGAATAGCTGCTTTTCTCATTTTCATCAAAAATCAACCCCAGCCGCCTCCAGCATGTTCTTGCTTTATAGTTACGCCTTTACCGACTGAGCTAAGGGAAACAATATTCTAAAGATTTATCAGACCATTAAAGACACACATTTTTGAAGACCGGAAGTCGCTAGAATCATTTCTTTCAAAGCTATAACATATTTTAGCTTTTTTTTCCTCAACTGCAAACTTTCACTTGATAAACATTCAGTGTAGGTACTAAAAAATGATCGATTATCAAATTAGCGGTATAAGCACACACAAAGTCAGCGAAGCTAACTGGTTTGCTAATAGTCTAAAAAATATCTGAATCGCTAAGCATTGCTAATTATTGATTAGCGAATTAGCAAAAACGTGCACACCACTGTAAAACTGCGAGGTCAAAACCAGTTATATCTTAGCGAAAGATCAGGAAAATATATAAATTGAAATGGTTGTTGATAAGACTATCGAGTCAGAATTTAAAAATAGTTTCTTCAACAATTCTTTTCTGTTTTTTTTTTTTTGTAACTACACAGCACAAAAAAAATCTAATATTACATCCAAGAGGATGCACTTCAATTATGTCGAAAATCTCATGTATATGGCCACAACAATAAACAGCGTGATGTCAGTTCTGTATTAATAATATATTTTTTTCCTTTTTGGCAAGTAATATTACATCAAATTTTCAACACGATTCAAGTGCATCCACTTTGTTGTGATATTAAAATTATGTTTTGCTGTGTAGGAAACTGTAGGCTGTGGGATTTTGACACGTTCGGAAAAGATGTTTATTTTCGAAAAATTACCCTTTGTCTAAGCCGTTTGAAGTTTGAGTTTAGCGCCATTTATGGGGATTAGCTTAGAACTGTCTGCCTAACCCAACTAGCATTTTCAGCTTTTTATGCCAACTTTTCCAGCGTAGTGCTGTAAAGTAAAACAGGACTTTTTTTTACCTAGGGGATGAGTACTTAAGGGGGTTAGATTTTGATAAGTTCTTTAGTGGAAATGACACTGATGAAGACTGCACATTGTAGTCGAAATACGTACCTGTCATGGATACCAAAATTAATTAAGTGGAATTAAATGGAAGATGGCTTCTACACAACCAACCACTCTTGTTGAATAACATAAACATCAAAAGTGATTTTTCAACAACTAAACAACCTGTACTCAACTAATAAGCTGTGTTAGCGCTACTTTGGAAGCTATTCTACAGTCAACTAGGTTTATTTTTAGACGTGTGCAGTTTTACAGCTTTTGCTCTGATTCTTTACAAAGCTGAATTAACTAGTCGAGAAAAGTGATACATGTGTTTGAACATGTTTGATAAAATTTACAGTAGCTTAGAGCCAGTCAATTTATTTAATCCATCACATCTATCATGGATTGATTTGGTCAGTTTGTTCCAGTTCTAATACATTTATTATCATTGTTATTGATTCTAATGTGCCACTTGGTGAGATGACCTCGACCGTGTGTGCGATAGGCTATGACTTTTATTCACGTTTAAACGAAATTAGTTTTTGGATAGAAAAATAACGAACTACGATCGCGATCGGATAAGCAGGCTCATGACTATTTTTTTTTTGTTGGGTTTGGAAAATTTGACTATAGTAATTGTGTCAAGTTTTTTTTTTTTGTCATTTTTCTTCCCATATGTTTGATCCTTAAATCTCTAATTGTGACTAAATTTAGTGCAATTTGTTTCAAAAATCATCTCTCCGGGTTTTAATGATCATCTTGTCTATCGTGAGCTGTGTAAAAAGTCGTCGTCATTGTCGGTGCCGGGATTGAATGGTTACGACAACAGCTCGATCATAGGTGATGTGATGTGATATGAGGCGCTCGGTGACCTTATAGCGGCCGTTTTTACTTACTGAGCTTTTTTTCCATACGCTTTTTCAGTGGCCTTATTGCACCAAAGTATTCCTTAAACATCTATTTGAAGATGAATGAGAAAGATTTGGATTTGGTTCTGTGAAATTATTGAAAGATAAAAGTCTGATGCGCAAAGGGCTGACAAAATCGGATCATTACTGTATACAAGTATATTTTCCATTCAATTCCGTTTTGTCTTTTTCTCTTCCAGAAACAGCGCTTCTTCTGCCGGCGGATTTATCGAAGAGTAGACATGAAAACGACACCAGTGACATTCGCCGGAACTTGAGACTTCGATACAAGAACGCATTCAAACATAACCGAGGAAACGAGTAAGTACGATGCTCTAATTAAGCATGCAGCCAAGTTTTCTCCATCGTCTAAACTATTTAGTCATTAAACAATTTTCTTTATTAAACTTAATCGCGTTATATCCATCTTTTGCCATTTTTTTTATTCTGTTCCTCTCACCCCCAACAAACTATGCCAAGCTTTTTCATCCACAAAGAAAACCGCTCACTCACCGCTGCATAATTCATTATACTTATTAATTTCTGTAGTCTAACCGCTCACCATTGCAATAATAAAAAAAAAAAAAAAGAGCGCACTTCCAGAGATTCTGCAGCTACATAAATTCATCCTGCACCAGCCGGGATGAATTCCACTAAAGCCTCACGTTCGTTTTTCCCTCAGTCCTACTTGCTTATTTTATCCCGGGACTGTTTTAATTAACTTACTTCCGGATGCGAGTTTACGGAACTATGTTATACTCCATTTTAATTCTGTGCTGCTTTTCCCCCTTTCGCATTCACTCAGGTACTGCATAGAGTTTGAAGTCATTAAAGCAACCAAGGCTTGCCACCGGGACAAAACCTATAACGCCCTGGCCGAGGGAGACCGTGTAATTGTACGATGTGACCTCGAGGCCCTGCACGAAGACAAATCGGCGGTGGATACAGAGATTTCGAACAACTCAATTCAGGACGAAGAGGATGAACGCCAGCAGGAGCGAAAGCCCAAATTCCGTTGTCGCGGGGAAGGATTGACCGGACGCAGCACTCGGTTCTCCAGCTTAGCATTACCCTCCTGCCGAGGCAAGTGGATGCGCGTGACGACGAAGCAGCTGAAAAAATGCTCCACCATCGAGGCACAGTTTATTTTCGTTTAGAAAGAGAGAGCGCGCACAACCGCCACCTTGGAACGGGGTGGAACATACTTTGAGATAATATACGGTCGGTTTGACCCGGTGGAGAATCCTTTCGGCATATGAGTAGAGTAAAAACGCGACGCCACGTGAAAGTGACACCGTAAATGTGTGTATCATTGACAATATTCAACTATCGGAGGAAGAGAGCGAGTGGAAAGTCGTGAGACGAAATAAAGTCACTTTGTATAATGAAAATTCTCGAGAATAATAAGAAAGAACAAGAAGACTAACGATGGAAAAGAAAGCTTGATATGGAGAGTAAATGCACGTAACAGTAAAATGTCGCATGAAAAGGAGACGAGATGGAAGAAGTTAAAGAACTTGTTAGTTTTAGAGCAGGTGACAGTGACATTTACTGTCACAAGTTTTTAAATCTATTCTCGATAGAGAAGAAAATTGAAAATGCAAAATTTATCGAGAGATTCTATATTTTAAGATAGATAAGTAGCTAAATCTAGGAAACAGGAGGACAGAAAAACTTTAATCGAACCTAATTTAGTTGTCAGAAATGATATCAACCACTATTTATTCGTCACTTGAACTTGGTCAAGATCAAACGTGGTAAATCACTCGGAAAACTAAAAGCAAGAGATGATACATTAAGTATAAGGTTTACATGCTTTTTCACAGGTTTTACCGACATCCTTTTATAGTTTTATCTATTTTTTTTTTCTTACACGAGCATACGATTTATTTCGTGCAATCCCTCACAATGAATGCGAAATGTTCATCATAGGTACATCATTTCTTTCTACCAATAAATTTCCATGAATAAGAAAACATTAACAGTGCCATATCGGTCGTATTATACTCACTTGTTTTCAACCAACAGTCGGTCACAGAGAAAATAAAACAATCACTTCAGTCATGTAAAAATGAATCATAAAACCAATTACCGCTAAGGAAATCCAGTTCGTATCAATAAGCTTAATTTTCCGATTCAGTTATAAAACAGTGTAAAATAATGTTAAATATATAATTCAAAACCAGTTCTTTGTGACCTTCATTAAAACCTACTACATTCCGAAATGCCTTCACTCACAAAAGTATTCTGAACACATCCAATGCCAACACTAAAGATAATCCTTGACGACTGCTTGACAGGTCAGATTTCTGTCTGCTGACTGCTTGATTTTGTTGTTGAGACTTCTGCGTTTGCCACTGCTGTGGTGTCCTGGCGGATTTCTTTCTTAATAGCTGCAGATCTTCTGTTGATATCAACTTCGAATGTCATCGACTATGGATTTCAGCATTTGAGTTCCAGTTGTAAGGCCACCAGTCACGAATTATATTACATTATTATTACATAGGGTTTTGGATGGCAGCTATGGAAACGCAAAATTAAAACAATGAAATGCTTCATGAACTTTAGGAAAATACTCCTTTACTGCGTTGCTACTCAATCTTGTTTTCCGTACTGAGTACCAATGCTACCGACGCCAGGGAGGCAGCTCCCACACCTAGACCCTACCCTATCGATCTATCAACTTATTTTGGAATCTTCTTTAGGATACTTATAATTCTTTTAGAATCTTCTTTCGTTTAGAAGGGTAATAAACCTTTTTTCAAAGATGAACTTCAAATTAGAATGTAATAATTTTGAATCCCTTGAATTTCATTTTACAGCTACTACACACTCAGTTTTATTTCCACCTGGGAAACATTTAGCTGAGATTTGCACAGCCGAGTGCTTGGCTAGTAGCCAATGTCCAATGGCTACACATTCACTGAGAAATCAGCTGCTGACGTGCTTTTGAGTAAATTATGATACATTAAAGTATCTTCTCAGGAGGAGTAGTGGAGTAGTCGAGAGTTTCTGGCTCAAGTTTTCAGCGCCAAATATCGGTGAAGATTTCAGTGCCGCGGGATCAAGCTGTTGACCGAACGAATCCGGTAGAGTGCCCTTATAGAGGAATGTTTTGTTTTGACAGAATTGAGTAAATGTACGTGAAGATTTTATTTCTATTGAATTCGTTTAATTGGATTATTTGATGCTTTCATTTCAATTTTTACCTCAAGAATAAATGTTTAGATTTGTCCTATTCTTGATTGAATAAGGTACACCGGGGCAAGTTGAAACAGGTTTTTTTTAAAGATGAACTTTGAGACTACCTTTGACGTAGGACTACGTCTTTGATTTCTATATGGAGGTACTCTTTGTGAAAACCGAAAATGGGACATGTAACAAATTAAGAAAGATTTTGAACGTTAATAACTCAGCTGTCCCCGGTCCAATTTCAATAATTTTATCACCAATCGATCAGAAATATGGCTACGCATCGATAACAATGCTTCCGAATGTTGATTTTCAACAAGAAACATTGTCCAAAAGCCTCGAATTAACTAACAAATCCACTAATTACCTACATGTATATGCTGCTTCCCCAGCACAGTCGTCAGAGAGTAGTAAGTAGACGAAACAAGTCGAAGTGGCATTCGCCTCCGATCCTCGGGCGCGTGCGAATAGGGAGGATGGAATTGCGTAATATTTTGAACACTCATCGCCATATTCAGAACCAAACGCAAATTCTTCGAGATAACCACCATCCGTCGTCTGGCTCGCCGTGGCGGTGTCTGACGTATCTCCGGTCTGATTTACGAGGCGTGCTGAAGGTGTTCCTGAAAAATGAGAACCGTGATGCTCTGTCATCTACACTAAACACGCCAAGCGTAAGCGGCCATGGATGTCATCTACGTTTTGAAGTGTTTGGTTTCGGAGGTTAAATCATCACCAACTTTGGCAACAAAACGGCTCTTTTCAGGGCCACCAAGCTTATTACAGTAAAGAGTAGGAATAGAATTCATCTGCCTGTTTGTCCATATTCAGAACCAACGATCACACAAAATGCTCATGTAATCAAACTGGAAGCAGGGGTACACATTATTTTGATCAACCTTGATCAACTGAATCGCAACAATCTAGCATTTAATTCGACGAAGACGGCAGGAAACATTTGTTAAGCCGAGTTATTTACGAAAGAGAGTGTCGATGAAGAGAATCTATCAATGTAGATAGGACCTATTGAAAAGTGACGCGAGATTTTTTTTCCGTACTGAGTTCCAATGCTACCGACGCCAGGGAGGCAGCTCCCACACCTGGACCTTACCAATCGACCCATCAACTCAACCGGGGACCAACGGCTTTACTTCGGCGTGATCAGAGATGTTATGCCTTAGAACATGCCGGTGGCGCCGACTGAGATTGGACCCAGGCCTGCTAGGGTGAGAGTTAATCACGTTAACCACCGGCGCCGATATCTTTCAAGGTGATATCACGGCGAATGAGATCGACCCAAATTTGAGTTTAGTTATCTCAGAAATAAGAAATAAAGTGCAGGAACTCGCCGTGGTGGTGTCAAACGTATCTCCGATCTGATCTACGAGGTGTGCTGAAGGTGTTTCTGAAAAATGAGGTCCGTGATGCTGTCACCTACACTAAACACGCCAAGCGTAAGTGGCCATGGATGTCCTCTTCAGTAAAACGGCCCTTTTCAGGGCCATCAAGCATACATCAGTAAAGAGTTGGAATAGAATTTATCTGTGCTTGTTTGTCCATATTCAGAACCACAAGCCCCCAACGACCCCACAAAATGCTCTCCAGAGTTGTAATCTTGTAACAAAACTTGGAAGCAGGGGTGCAAGTGATTTTGATTGATTCTCTTAATCATTTTTCTCTTTGAAAAAAAAATATTACAAATTTAGTACGCCTACAATTCAAAAACGGAAAGAGTTGAGATAATAGATAATTGATCAATTAAAAGAAATAAATGATCTTTACATTTATTCCGTCCACTAGCGGTCCTACGCCAAGCTTCCGTTCGTGCCCCTAGGCACAGACCCTTCTATTTTTTTTTTAAATTAATAATTAGCGAAATTTTTAGTATAATGGCTGAGACTATCTGAAACAATAATAAATTAACATAAACCCGATGTTTTAGCATCAAAAGTTTCGTGAAAGCGTTATCTATCATGTAACAATATTGAATTATAATTAACGAAGAAACGTTATATACAAGTGGGGTAAATTGAATCAAATATATTAGAGTAGTTTTTTCCTTAAACATAGATACTTATGTATAAAATAATATTTTTGCAATTCCGCTTAATAATACCAATTTTTTAACACGCTGTAAAGTAACGGCTTGAAGTTACATTTCCGCAATCAAAAGTGGAATAGTTATTTACGCAAAAAGTTGCAAAATGACGATTTGCGAGGTGGTTGCATACACATTTTTTTTTTAATTTTGATAAAAAATAATCCCTTTGTGTTTTAATTGTTTATATCTGTATAAAACGCAGTTTCAAGGGTAACTGCATATCAACGTCCATGCGTGTGATCAAAACTATCCGATCAAGTAGTTTATTAAATATGACTGTCACAATTTTTCAAACTCTCGGTCGGCAAGGCTATATTTAGGTAGTTCAGTAGATCCAGAAAATTAACCATACATTACAATGGTGACTATTAACCATGCACTGAGGCAAGTAAACTTAAGAATTTCATAAGGCTTGACTTATGAACGATACATGAATTTTATAACTTATGAATAATTTTTGTCTAACATGAGGTAGGGTAAATTGTGGCTTCGGCGCCCATTGACTGTTTTCGGCAACCAATATTTAAACGTTAATTTCGCTGTATTTTCTCACCAAAACACTTCGCCGAATGTTTTAAAAAATTTCTTAGTCTCTAAGCTTCAATCTAATTACATTTTTACGCCTGAGTATACCTGTTATGACAGGTTTTTCTTCAAATGAAACATAACCACTGCAAAATGCGGCTGATTTCGAGTTGCCGATAATAGAACAGTTGGTTAACACGCAGTTCAAATGGATAGGTTGCCGAAGAAAAAGAGACTGCCGCCACACAGCAAAAAAATAATTTTGATATCACATCAAAGTGGATGCACTACAATCATGTCGAAAATTTCATGTAATTTTTATGACCACATAAATAAACAAATGCAGTAAAAGCAGCGTAATGTCAGTTCATGCATTGTATTAATGATAATTGTGTCCTTTTTAGCAAGTAATATTACACCATATTTTCGACATGATTGTAGTGCATCCACTTTGACGTGATATCAAAATTATTTTTTTGCTGTGCAATAGTCGTACTCACCTGAGATGTTTGGTGCGTTTTCAATACGTTTTCAATCCGTTTTCGATGATTCTGTCGATTGGAATATATAGAATGGTGAGCAGCAGATAAATGTAAACAAACAAACACGTCATATGTGCGCGTGAAGCTGAGAAATTGTTAATAGAAGTGCAGACGCTACTTAGATTGACGAGAATACTTTAACTCCCACACACAGCAAAAAATAATGTTGATATAACATCAAAGTGGATGCACTTCATGCCTGATCAGCGCTGGCACTCTGCCTCCCGGACGGTTGTACGTGTGTCAATGGTGGTTTTCTCGCTTTCTGGGAAGTTTTAGAATCGAGAAAGAAAACATGATTCAACAGCATCAGAAGATATGTTTTTTTTTAATTCTTTGGTTTGTTTTTTCCGTCGATCTTGTTTTCCGTGCTGAGCACCAATGCTACCGACGTGCCAGGAAGGCAGTTCCCACACCTGGACCCTACCTATCGACCCATCAACTCATGAACCGGGGACCAACGGCTTTACTTCCCATCCAAAGGAAGGCGTGATCAGAGATGTTATGCCTCAGAACATCCCGGCGGCGCCGACTGGGATTGAACCCAGGCCTGCTGGGGTGAGAGGTAATCACGCTTACCACTACACCACCGGCGCCGTTCAGAAGATATGTTGTTTGTTTTTTATTTGTTTCTTCGCTTGTGCTCTCGGAACGGAAATTTGAGGCATCGCGAGTGATAGTTTTGAACAGCAATGCAAAACAAATAATTCAATTGAATGGACTAAAACTGGGACTGGGTCTAAAATAAAAATGCAACCGATCGGATCGACTATTTGCACGAGCGATACTTCTAAGCTTGTTCTACAAATGACGATCCAGA